CCAAAAGACATTGTAACATAAGAGAAGCTGGAAGACTGACAATTGTATGGTGATGCTGCATTTTGTACATTGCAAATCATGGCAACACAGAAATACTCATACAGACAAATTTACAAACAAACCAAAGACAAGCTGCCATTGGACTTTAAAAAATCATTTTGAGGTCTAATCAAGACTTACCCACCTACCAACCAAATATCAAGACAATCCATCCAAGCTATTTCTAGTTATCATGCCTTATAGGCACACACAGCCTGACACACAGACACACACACACAAATGCTGACGAAAACATAACCTTCTTGGGAAAGATAACAATACTTCCAAGTCTTAGTGCAAAGTAAAAGGACAAGGTTTTCCAAGGCTGTCTACACAATGCCTGACTCATCAGAATGCCAACCTTACTCCATGACACAAAGACAGTCAACTCGGACAAGGCTGATGTGAAGTGACGTTCCAAGGACATGGGAACTAGCCTTTGTCACCTCTCTAACTTGTTGGGGTCTGACATTGTCAAAACCACTCTAACTTCACACCAACCAATGGTTGAACTGAACAATCAATCAATCTCCAAGCAGATGGTGGGAGTCTGGGGAATTTCCTAGCTGCCCTGGATGCTAGAACTGTAGCATGCACTGCTGCTCTTTCATTGGGGGGCATGTTAGTCCTGGAGCTGAGGAACTGGCCTGTGTAGGCCCTGCAGACAGCCTGGCACCCAGGCTAGCCCTAGAGCTACTAGCCTTTGTAGGCCCTGGAAATAGTCTGGCAACCATGGCTACGTACCCTGCAGGCAAACAGGCATCTAGGAAAACGTAACAATTTTTTTTCCCAAAGTCTGCTTTGACATTTAGTAATTAGTACCCCGGCCACTGTGTAATTTGGTTTTCACCCATTGTGGTTCCTTGTCTCTCAGTCTAGACTTCTCCCAGATCTAATATTGTTAAAGCCTCTACCAGGCCTTTCTTAGTTTCTACAGGAATACAGATCGTAGCATTCGGAAAAAGGAGTGAGAGTAAAATTGGCTAGGGGAGTCTGGCCATGGAAGGTTGTTTCTTTCCCTCCTAACTGCGCGGCCAGTCAAACCTACAAGTCGGCCAAACTCCCCTGGCACATATTCTCTCATATATAGCTGTAGCGTAATTAGTCTTGTAGAGACTACTCTATTGTGCTGTTTCAACTGAAGTATCACAGTATAGAAACTTCTCCCCCCAAACTTGACTTCTCTCTGAATACCCCGCGTGGTATCGACACCAGCTCGAGGTGGCCGAGACAAAGAAAAGACTCCACGGGGGCACCTGGCACCTCTTTGCAAATTTCCGGTTCCGAACACGGATGAAAAGACGGTTAACATCGTTCCAGAGTCTCCTTCTTTTCTGCTCACTAAGTGAATCATGGCTGGGAGGGGAACTGATTTGTCCACTGAGACAATTCGGTTGACCTACCCCCTGATGGTCATTACCGCAGGAATGTTACACCGAGGCTGTCTGGGCTTCATTGTCAAGGTCGCAACTTTGTATGCAGGTGGATGTAGATCCTAGGAGCCATGCAGAAGTATGACTGAATGTACATGCAGTTTTTAGTTCCTTTTTTTTTTAGAAATCTCAACGTCATATAAGATAACATACAAAGCCAAGATACCACTTCAAGGCGCGCCGGTGCTGAACTAACTAAAGTGGCTGCATCTAAGACAGAAACATGACATTATTAGATGTTGGAGGCAATATATATAATATAACTCTCTGCTTCTCTAAGCAAATTGTGACTCTGAGTCTAACTAACCATTATGACGAGTGACACCACATGCAATTTGCCACAATGCCACAGGAAACAACCAACAAATGAAAACCTCAAAACTTACAGGAATGGAATTAGTGAGTCAGAACTTTCTTACCTCACACCTTAGCAATCTTCCTACCACTCCTCCGACATTTCTCAGATCAAACTCCTTTGATATCTTGAGCAAACATCTCTGAAAAAATTCCTGTCTTTCTTCAGAAACAGGAAGCCACAACAAGTGAACCCCAGCCAGCCCTTGTATGGTGCATCTGTCTGTGTGTTTTGCCCACCCACAACCACAGCTGTCAGTAGCTTCTCCTGATCAACCTGGCTACTGTAATTCCTGACTTTTTCGCAGTACTTTACCGGTTACAGTGTAACAGTGGGGGGTTTATAGGCGCTACCAACTGACCCGGATGGGTCTAGACCTTTTCGGCCGAGCGGTTAGAGCATTGGGTTTGAAGCTGGTGCTCGGGTTTGGTCGTAGGTTCGAACCCCGGCCCGGGACCAGGAACTTGTCTTTCTGTTTTTACTCTCCTAATTCTTACAACAGGATCGTCTTATCACTTCTGTACTGCAAACTTATCGTAATACCGTTAACAAATAATTCGCCAACTTGCTTTTTCCTGCACCTGCCACAAACAAATACAGCGTTCTGTGAACACCTCCATGTTTCTCAGGCTGCGAACTTTTGCTACCCCCACGAACAAAAAAGTGAACCTACAGTACTCACTCAAAACCTCTGCTCTCCACTTGTCACTAATATGTACTGCAAACTTATCATTACTGTTAACAAATCATCAGCGACTTTCTTTTTCTTCTGCACCTGCTGCCAGAGTTCTGTAAACACCTTTTCTCAGGCTGAGAACTTTTGCTACCTTATGAAGAAAAAAGTCAATCTACAGTACTCACTCAAAACCCCTGCCCTCCACTTGTCAACCCTCTATTCCTGACACCCTCCAGAGGATCTCTGAAAAAATGTTCCCCCTCAAAAGCATCATTGTCTCTCTCCCTGCAGCAATCTGCTGAATAAATGAACCTAATCTAATCAATTAGGAACCCAGGGTCTCAGGAGGAAGGCTTGGGGTCAACTGAGGTCACATCTGTGGGAGACATCAAGTTAGAGACCACAGTAGACAGTAAGGGCAGACGGTTTACCTAATAAAGTCAGCGTGCGATGATGCGAAGTTGTGATATTTATAACAATGAGTCAGGGCTGGCTTCTAAGAAAATCGTCGGTGAAATAAGTTCCTTTTTTGTTTGTAAGCAATGAGAGATAATTGATAATAAATATTCAATTTTTAACTTAAAAATGCAGCTTTTTTCTATATACTAATAGTTGACAGTTCACATAATATACTGTGACAAGAGACGTAATATTTTTTCAACACCTTTTTGGGGTAACTTTCATGTTTTTTTTTCTGATCTCACTTAATTTTTTCAAAACTCCATCATTGAATTACATTATTATAAATCTCCCCTACATTAATTTCTTTTCTGATTTCCTGCAACTTTCTTCTTTTTAGTCTTAAATCTTTTCCAAATGCTTATAGACTCACCTCTCTGGAACAACTCTATCATGTAACATGATCCTCATCCCTAAGCCTACAGAATGGATTGGTCATGACGGCCTAAAGGTGGGTAAAATGTCATGTCAAGTCAGGCCAACCTTAAAACTTCTTGTGGAGTTCTAATTTGTACTTGTGGAGGAGCCAGTTCTTTATATTGAGTTACTTAACCTAATCAAGTCAACTCCGTAAGAAGACAGATACAAGACATTTTGTACTTGACTATGGCTACCATATATATTTATGGCTATTATGATTAAAATACCTTAATTTGAACTTGCTTCAAGTTCAACACAGTTCTCTTCAACAGAAGAACCTAACTGCAAAGCAACATGATAACAGTGCTCCCTCCTTTCTGAAATAGCCTGGATGCAATATTAAGACCCATACCAGGCTAAGCCCAGAGTTATTAGGAGTTTGGCTGGCCCCTCGGGCTCAACTCCCCTGTGGCGGTAATTTCGACAGGTGGACAGAAGGGCTCTTGGCTGCTGAAGGAAAACGGCTAACGGCCCGATACTAGTTTGGCATCCAGGGTATAGCACACTGGCCCAAAGTTTTTCAGTGTAAAGCCAGTGTGCTATGGGTCTGGCATCCAGCTAGCCTGGGAAACAGTCAGGAACCCAGGCTATGTCTGAAGCTGCTACATCCCCTGATCTATGTTTAATGTAAATGGCAGGCAGCTCCTCAGAAGCAGGGTGGAAGGCCAGGCCCTTGAACCTGACTCCTGTCAACACAATCCTGGAATAACTCAACCCGAACAGCAAGAACTTCTCAGGGGGCCCTGCAAGCCCTTTTCCATAGAGCGTAATCGGCCGTTTTAATTCTACGTAGAGCGTAGACGGACCGCTCTAATTCAACGTGGAGCGTAATTGGCACATTTTGTGTAGAGCGTATTTGTCGCTTTAATTCTACGTAATGCATTGTAGTGGCAGCCACTTGGAATTTATTGTAAGTGTAATCGCCACTGTAGCGTAATTCGTAGCCGCCTCTCAAAATTTAGCGTAGAGTGTTGTTGGGACCCCCCCATGCAGGCCCTCCTCTCAGGCTTTTGTTACTGTAGACGGATCAGGGAACCACCAACTGTCCCACGGTGCTGACAGAATCTTAAATCAAACTATACTGGGAATGATAAAAAGTAAAGTAAACCCATTATTTTAAAACTTTTCAGAAAGTTGAGTCTGGTACATCTGTTGTTACTTTATTAGCTTTATTTAGCTTTATAAGTTTTATTTATTCCTCTACTTATTAGTTTGGCTTACGACTATTATTAGCAAGTTGTATGATAAATGTACATGTAGATATAAAACTTGATCATGCTTTGCACATTTTATCTTTCTAGCTTTGTAATCTTTTCTTTTACGTCATACCCCATTTATAACATGATCATGCACTTGCGAGACAAGCAATAGAAGTTCTGACATTCTAGATGTTCTGCTGCAGTACCTAGGAAAGCTTCCAGGGGTCCAAAATCTAATCAAGTCTTCAATTACCTAAGACCTAACAACATACATGTACTTATTTTTATATCAATTATATTCATAGCTATTCATTTGCTACTAACCCCCCCCCCCAAAAAAAAAGAAAACACTGCTACAAATTCTCCAAAAAAAATTAAAAACTTCTAGTGAATTACAATGTAATAAATAGATTTCTTACCTTCGCCCTCCTGTGGAAAGAATGCCGGCTGTAAAGTCTGTAACTCTCAGCTGCTAGTGAGGATCTCCCAGTGGTGCATTGGTTGTCAGGCGGTGGCTACACTTGTGAGGGACAACTGGTTCCCTGGACAGGACGCTGGCATCTGTACAACATACAATGTAGTACGTGTTTGGGTTGGTCCACTAGGCAAGAGGAGGGGTGTTGTACCAGTCTTTTTCTTCACTTTTAAATGATTGCCATGACAAGTGACCAACATGTATGGTAACCATTGGTGATGCATTCAATCAAGGCTACAGTACAATACACCCCGTAAATAATTTCATCAGGTTGGAAGATACTTAGGATATAGAATTTTCTTCTTACACAACCATAGAGTTTCTCACCTGCTTACGTTTCGATGTCTTTGCAGAACTCCAGTCAGAAGCTCTGAGGAAGGTGTCTGATAGACATCGAAACGTAAGCAGGTGAGAAACTCTATGGTTGTGTAAGAAGAAAATTCTATATCCTAAGGCTACAATACAGTAAATAATTTCCTAGGTTGTATTGCCCTTAGTCACCAAAACATCGGCTGAAGAAACCTCTTGGTTGTGTAAAAAGAGTCTCTCTTTAATTCAGTGTTAGATCAATTAGAGTAGACAACAAACAAGCAAACAGATTACGACCTCCACCATTATACCACTTTATCACCAAAGGAAAAAAAACACATTTTAAAAATTTCATTGACCGTTTATCTAAGGCCCGATTTAGACTAGAAACGGTATACCGTTTCGAAACGGTACGAAACGTTTCGCCACAGAAAACGGTTCGTCTTTAGACACAGAGGCGTAAGCGTTTCGGGCCGCCCGTGGCGCAGGATGTTTCTGACCCACAGTGACCTATGATGACCTCCCCGAGCCGCTTCTACAGTTTGCCTCATTGGCCTTATGATACTTGTGTTTCAGGGCCTTGAACTTCGCCCGAACCTGCTTTGGGGTGCGTAAATACCCCTCAGCCGCCAGCCCGTCCACAAGCATCTGTATGCCCTCTTTATTACGCGAGGTCTCCAAGCGGGATTGTATAGTTTGATCGGCCCACAAGCTGATCAAGCAGCGGATCTCTTCTTGGGTCCATACCCTCCCCTGGCCTTCTGCCATCCCCCCAGACATAAAGGATGACGAAAATTCGAGAAATACATGATATAAAATGGCGAAAATGGACACAATCGAATATGGCGCAAATCTACCAGAAAATGGATGCGCGCGGGCTTATTAGCATGTGATTAGCATATGACACGTGACCTGGTTTACCGTTTCAAGAAACCCTTTGACTTTAGACCTAGCAAAAAGCGTTTCGGGCCCCCCGCTGAAGGGTTCTGAAACGGTCGAAAACCACGATGGAGGTGGTTTTCAGAAACGGTCCGCGAAAACCCATAACAAACCGTTTTTTCCTCTTTAGACCGGGAACGGTTAACTGTTCCGAAACGTTTCCCTGGCTAAAACCCCTTAAGCGTTTCTAGTCTAAATCGGGCCTAAGATATATTAAAAGCTCAAATTTTGGCAGTAGGAAGACAGCAAACAAGCAAAGTTTAAGACCAAAATTATATACAGGTGCTGGGTTGCTGGTAACAGTTTGTTAGCTTGCATTCAGGCCCTTCCCCTAACAGTTTGTCAGGCCTGACATGTCAGTGCACACATGGCCTTTAGTCTATACCTACTGTGTACAATTAAAATCCCAGCTAAGTGTTTTCTCTGTAAAGTCTTTAGAAATTAGATACTAGATTATAGATGCTCCAATTTTGGTGGGAAGACATCAAATAGAATAGAACCTTTGATGGTGTCATCATCACTTGCTGGTAAAAGATTGTTAGCTTGCATTGGCCCTTTAACAGGTTGTCATAATCTCCAAGCAGATCCTAGGTCTCAAAAATACAGTATCAAATTGGCCAGGCAGTATCCATTGTCCAGAGAGGGTCCATGCGCGACCCAACTTTGGTTGGTGGGGGTACGTAGTGACAAAAAAACGGACCATATATAAAAGCTAACGATCTTTCCCCACAACCTCTGCTTGGAGAGTAGGTTGTCAGGCCTGACATGTCAGTGCACACATGGCCTGTAGTTCATACCTGCTGTGTACAATTAAAATCCCGGCTAAGTGTTTTCTCTGTAAGGGTGATCCCTGTCACCCACAGACACGCTGCCACGGAACAATGTACGCCGAAACTGTAAACTACACGGGAGGCGCAGCCGCATAAAAACTCCCCGAACGCTACACCGAGTCTGTTCTTCCACCGTCTTTTTAACTCCACCAGACACTATTGTGTTTCTTACCCCCCGAAGACGCAAAGTACGAACCTTAAAATCTGGCGCGAAACACGGAAAGAAATCGTCTATTACAGTTTTATTCACTTTGCGGGGATTTTATCACTGATATGTGAGCTAAGGTTGTAAGAAAGTTGCTCCGTATAAAAAGGCGTGCGGCGTAGCGTGCGTTATTATGCACAAACACCTGGTCCCGTGCCAAATATTGAGGCACCAACAAAAAGAACGAGCGACCCCACAGGGTGTCTTGACCCCGATACTCAACAATAATCCCCACAAGATACCAGATTTCCATTTCAAATCAATCCCCAATACAACCACCTCTCAAAAAAAACTACAGTACCGACTACAATCCTCTGTCTGTTCCGTCATTCTTTCGAAATAAAAATCGGATCTGGCAAAGTGAAGGTTTTTGGATCAGATTCGCCGCCGCCTTTGGTGGTCTCGGCGACCAAAATATAAACAAATAAGAGAAAACCACAGAAATGTCGGAACAGCGAATCCAGCTGTTACAAAAGTCAACTTCAAACGGACACGTTGGGCTTGCCCATCATAAAGTGTCCGGATGTCCGCCTGTTTTCGTGAATGGAGAGAAGTTTTTTTATGAATGGACAGGAAGTGTGGGACATAGTAACCCAGTTCTTACCTGTATCTGTCTGGTAATGAGGACAGGCTTACACAAAGTCTTTCATTCAGACATTCTGTAAAATATTGGTCAACTTCTTACCTGTACCTCAAACCAATGTGCAAAAATCCATTTAATAGTTGACAAAAACAATTAAAACAAGACAAGAAACTTTCGATATCTTTTAAAAATTAAAAGATTCCTTTTTCATATCATAACCTTTAATTTGATATTCACTCCTCTGTATGATTTAGTCACTGGGAAAAATTATAAGTCTGAACTACAGGTATACCTGGTCCAGTAAATAGAAAAAAGCAAAAATGGCTATTGTAACTTCTACAGCATTGCTAGAACAGGTGTATCTGTGTTACCTATTTTGCCACCTTTTCTGGTAAGGCCAACGGTTACCAAATCCAAAAAACACACTCCCCTATACGCACAACTGAGTCTAAACTAAATAGCATTCTAAATAGCAAAAACAAAACAACAAAAAAGCTAACTCCTATGCCTATGTCTCCATAGCATTATCACACCAGGTGTATCTATTGTTACTTATTTTCGCCACCTTTCCTCCCAAGGCCAAGGGTAAGTCGACAGGTAAGTAAACAGCTTGACGTCCTGAGTACCAGGCGATAATGCCCCACCAGCCGCGCGCCACGCAGGCTTGGCGCTTCGTTAAGAGCAAACCCTCGTTAAGCCTCCAGACCTGGCTTCAAAGAGCGCTGAAGTGGGGCTGTATTGAACCAGGATGTGTCAGACAGGCTTGTTATAGACACGCCTCTGGTCAATATCCAATTTAACTTGTTGGTTAACGGATTCACCCATTTTTCTGAGTTGCCAAAAAACAAAAACATTTTATCCCCTAAATCAACTCCAAAATGCTCATATTTTATCTCTTTAAAGTTGTTTCAGTTTTTATTTCCATCTATCAATGCAGAGGTTTGATTGAAAGTTTGAAATTCATTGTTTGAATTACAAACCAGCCTGGTGTGTTGACTTCACGGCTCCTATCATAGCACTTGAGGCTATAACAGGATGCCTAGATCTGTTATTATTTTTTTCGCCCTGTCGCTTCATATTTTTTCTGAGAAAATCCGAGAACCAACAAATTAAATTGGTGTGGCCTAATAGGCTTGTTCTATCACGCCTGGTTGGGTATAATGATTTGTGTACAGATGTCCCAGGTGAAGAGAAGTGTTTGACTTGTTTGTGATCCTGTTTTGTTCGCTGTCAGGACTGTTTGTTATTGTCTGGACCGAACCAACAATTAGCACCAAGTTAACGATGAGATTCTTATAAAATTAGAAGGGAAAATGTAACTTAAACACAGCTCAGAATCGTGTCACCATGATTTCTAATATCCATTGTACCTTCTTTATCAACAGAAACAGTTCTTACCTGTTCATCAAAATAATTTAAAAAATCAATAATAATTTTTTTTTCTGTGTCATTACAACAAGGATTCCCAATTCCCAAAGAAAACTTTTTCCACCAGCCCAGCCTAAAGTCTTAACATAACTCATTAACTCTACAGTCTTACCTGTGATTGTTACAAATCCACCTGTTGTAACAGTTTGTTGTAGCAGTACTGCATGCACTGTTACACACACACACTTGTGACAGTTCACTCGGGACCCCCAGTTCTAAATGAGAACGCTTCACCACCAGCCTATAGCCTGTAGTCTAACACCAACTGGCAAAACTTCTGCAACAATCTTACCTGTGATTGTTACAAATCCACCTGTTGTAACAGTTTGTTGTAGCAGTATTGCATTCACTGTTACAAACACACACTTGTGACAGTTCACTCGGGACCCCCAGTTCTAAATGAGAACGCTTTACCACCAGCCGGGCATACAATCTAACATAACATGCATGAGTCTTACCTGTATTATGTAACTCTTCCAAATCCACCTGTTGTGGCAGTCAGTTCGCATGCACACACATACACAGTGACAGTCCACCAATGCACAATACATACACAGTACACTCGGGACCCCCAGTCCTAAATGAGAACGCTTTACCACCAGCCCGGCCTATTTTAGGAAACCCGACCTCCCTCCCATTGGTCAGTGCCCAGCAGGGGGCCTTCCCCAGCCCCGTGTTACTAACACCCCGCGGGTCAGCTGGTGGTGTTGGGCGTAACTCGAGCCACGCCCCTCATACAATGGTCTGAATGGTCGCCGATTGTGTGCCGCGCTTTTAACACTCGCATTAGGA